CCCCCCCCCCCCCCCCCCCTTTTTTTTTTCAAAGCAAAGAAACTTTTGACGCTTCAAAGCAATGGTTGATGACTAAATTGCACTGTTCAATTTTCAAGTTTGAGAAAGAGAAAGATAATTATAGTTTAATAGGGGTAATTGATGATTTTGTGATTTATAGAAGATCTTTCCGGAAACACGGTACGAGGGAAAACCCAAATCTCTCTTTTCAGCAAAGAAAAATTCTTTAATGACCCAAAATATGAGACCAATAAATGGAACAAGTGAGGTGTTCTCCTATTGGATAATGAGTTAGCCATCATTAATGATGACCAACTCATTATCCAATAGGAGGGGAACACCTCACTTGTCCTTTTTATTGGTCCCATATTTTGGGTCCTTGTAGCAAAGCTCATTACAAAACTCCCCCCTAGAAGTACGGTTTATCTTTGGAGTATTGGCTGAATGGGCCCCCACCACTGCCCACGCTTCATGGGCTCAGCCGTGAACATACCTACCATTCCTCTTGTAGAATGACATCTCAGTATTTATGGAAGCAAATCATTTTCTTGTCTTTCTTAGTTACTTGATTTGGAGGGAACTCCCCGGCAAAATAAATAAATAAATAAAAATTAAAATTTTTAAAGCATTGCATAGAAGAAGAAATTTTCAAAACATCCTCAAACTATGTTTTAATTTTTAAAACCCACCCACTTTTTTTTTACCAAAATCGACCCACTTTTTACCACGTCAGCTTAATCTCATTTCTAAACAGTCGGGGTTGACAACCTTGACTGTTTAGGAGGTTGTTAAACCCCAAATAGAAACCTTAAACCCGATTTTTTATGCCCTAAATAGTTTGGGTTGACAACCCGACTAATTAGGAAATGATATTAAGCTGACGTGGTAAAAAGTGAGTATATTTTGGTAATAAAAAAAGTGGGTCGGTTTTAAAAATTAAAACATGATTTGAGGCTGTTTTGAAAATTTCTTCTTGCATAGAATTTAGTTCATCAATCTAGGGGTATTTATGTGATAGGCAAAAACCATGTAAGGTGTGTAGAATATTGGATACGAGCGATTGCTTGTGGTAAAGTTTTATGTTTAGCATATGTTTATGATTACGAGCTTTTACGCGTAGCATTTTGCAAATGGGTACTTTTTCCAATTTTTCAATGGCTTCAGTTATCTTTTTAGACTTTTGCTGGTTATTAAACTATTTTAAACATTAAATACTTGACGTCCAACTCACTAACCACCAAGCACGAAGTTGACTGCAAATAAATGTTTCCTGCGGTCGTGAATGAAAGATATCCAAAACCGTTGACTACATTTCCAAAAAGGGATAAAAAGAATATGATATAATAAAGCTAAAAACGACTATTTAGCTATAAAAAAAAATAAAATCTCCAATAATCTTTCCGAAAAATAAACCATTATCACCACACTAATTAATTCCAGTAAACCCAACAGCAAGATCAAATCCGCACCTGTTTCTGACTCATAAAACCCTATCA